GACACTTAACATTTGCTAGCTGTGTGACCCTGGGCAAGTCACTTAATCCCCATTGCCCAACCAAAACAAACAAACAAACAAAAAAACTTCAGTTACTCAGTGCAAAGGAGGAACAGGTTAGGCAGGGACCAACTTCTCAGAAACTGCAATAGGGGTTTTTGTTAGCACTGACATTTTTTACGAAATTGATTGGACTATTTTTAAACCAGTAATCTATGATTTTTTTTTTCACTAGACATACAGAGGATTCTGGAGGTCTTTCCATTTTCGTTGTTGTGGTTACCGGGTATATTTTTTTCTTGTCTCTACTTTTTTTGCTCTGCATCATTTCACATAGATTTATTTTTACTGTGTTATAATAAAGAAGCTTATATTCCAGTGGGGTCAACTAATGAGAAGCAGTGAAGTATAGTGAATAGAGAACTGGATTTGGATTGAAGAAGGCTTGGATTCAAATTCAGCCTCAGACAACACCAGCTCTATGATCCTGGACAAGTCACTTAATCTCTCTAATCCTCAGTTTCCTCATCTGTATAATGGAAATAAGAATAGCACCCGGGGCAGCTAGGTGGTGCAATGGATAGAGCACTGGCTCTGAAGTTAGGAGGGCAGGAGTTCAAATCCAGTCTCAGACCAAACACTTGACACTTATTAGCTGTGTGACCCTGGGCAAGTCACTTAACCCCAATTGCCTAAAACAAACAAATAAACAAACAAACAAAAAAGAAGAATAGCACCCAACTTAGGTGCTCTTATTTAAGTTTGTTGGGAGGCTTAAACAAGAAAATGTATGCAAAATGCTTTACAAACCTTGGCACGCACTTCAGATGCCAAGGCAGAGTTTTCTTCCAGGTGTGATTTTGGGGGCTGCATTATCATTTCCCATAGAAGTAGCTGAGAACATGAGGCTCTGTCTCAGGGCATGTAGACATCTTGTGCATTATATCTTCTTTTCTGCATAACAACGTCATCTCACTCCCTGGCAACCATTTAGAGGGCATCCTAGTTTGGAAATAAAGGCTTCTGAAGAGAGGCAGTTTCAGTCATTCAGAGTGGTCTCCTGTCTAGATCCTCCACTTCAACCAGAAGCCATTTAGTTAAATATTCCAAAACCCTGCAGGGCTAAGGGTCAACTGACCGGGAAGATACCTGAGCCTGAAAGAAACCCAAGGGCATTTATTAATTATGAACATCCCTTAGGGAGAGAGGCTGGACTTGTGCTTTCATTGACATTGGGGATTCCCAGATGAGGAGACTCCTTTTCAAGCTCTAACCTTTTCTGCAGTTTACACTCTTAAAGAATTAACTGCCAAGAGCATTGAGAGGTTAGCAGACTTACCCAGGGTTTCAGCTAGTATGTGTCAGAGGTAGAATTTGAACCCATCACTTCCTTGCTCTCTGAGATCAGCTGTCCATCAAGTGTTTCTTACTGTCACTTCTTACTATAATTATCAGATATCTCTCTTTCTCCTAGTACATGCCAACCGGGGGGAATTGCAGCCTCTCTCTTACAATGTGGAAGGTTCAGCTACTTCTTAGAGAAAACTGAGGGGCAGGGTGTGAGCAAGTGCCAACATAGTATACATAAACTGTTTTTGGCCATGGGTCAGGTCCTGCTTTAGTTCAAGGTAACCCACTTTGATGAGAGCAGAAGACCTTGAAGTGAGAATCGGTGCTTAGAACACTTTGATTGCCTCTTTCAGCTTTTGTAACTCAGGGCTAGGTGCCTGAGAATTGGTCATCTAGATCAACTCCCTGATGGGTCGGTGAGCTGTCAGTCAGGGGTGTTTAGGGTCACCCTCCCAAGTTGGGTTAGTGTGAACTGCAGCTCACCTCTGACTGAATACCAGATCACTTTTCCTGCAGATCTGTGGAATGGATGAGTCAGTATGACTTCTCACCATGGCTATAAAACACCCTCAAACACAATTCCTGTTCAGGGAAAAGGCTGCCGGGCTTTTGTTGACTTGTGTTTAACTTATGGAGACTTCTCTGGGTGTGTCCCAATGGGAGGGGGTTGGGACAAATAAAACTTAATTGGTACAGAGCAGCTGATCACCTTGGATTTACAAAGCCATAAACTTGGACACAGACATGCAGGCAGACAGGCAGGAGAAGGTGTCACTTGTTTTTAAAAATTAATTTTTATTGCTATCCTTTATGCGACATCACCTTTATTTTTGAATTTTTGCCTACCCCGCAACACCTTTCCTATACAACAAGCTATCTATTGTAATACAAAACAAAAAAAGGAGAGTAGAATAATGAAAAAAAATTCAGCAAAACTAGCCAACATGCCAACAAGTCTTCCAGCTGGCTATCCACTATCTCTGTGTCTCATATCTCATCTCATCTCATCTCTCTCTCTCCTCTCTCTCTCTCTCTCTCTCTCTCACACACACACACACACACACACACACACACACACACACACACACACACACTCACTCTTACTCTTGCTTGCCTATCACATTCCTGCTCTGTGAAAGACTTCCTTGTCCTGGCTTCCCACTTCAAAGATATTTGTATATATAATCAAATTGTTAGCTCTGAGGCCACATAAGCAGGAGGGGCTGCACTTATGTACAATACATGTTACACTTACCCTCCTTAACTCCCTCAATCAAGAATCCTAGCCACAATATTGCCAACCAGTAGTTTTCCAGCCTCTGCTTGAAAAAAGCCTACCATGCCAAGATCTCCTCTCTCTTCACCATGCTGGTTGCCTTCTCCCAAATGGGCTGTCCTTCCCACCCCCTACCTTACACCTGAGGAAATTGAAATCCAGAGGAGTCGACTGATTGGCTGAAGGTCAGACTGACCACAGATGGGAAAAAGCAGAAGTGGTAGTCACACCTAGGTTTCGTGTCTTTAAATTCAGTTCCCTTCCCACTGTTGGGAATTTTTTGCCTTAAGATTTATTCTAACCTGTACACAAAATGTTGGAGAAGTATACAAAGGGACACAATGTTATTTCATTTGTGTCTTAAACCTTCTTGGGTTGACTAAGTTGGCTTATCACCAAAGTTCAGCCTACGGCAGGCATATCAGTCAGTCAAATATTTATTAAGTGCTTATTGCGTGCGAGGCACTGTGCTAAGCACTGGAAGGTACATGGAAGGTTCCTTTTCACACTCAGCCCAGCTACAAGGAAGCACTTTTATTTTCTTTAATTTTAAAGATGTGTTGATACATTTTGTTTTTATACCACAGTTATTTCTTGACAGGTGTGGACAGAGCACCAGGGCATGGAGTCAGGAAGACCTGAGTTAAAATCCGGCCCCAGATATTTCCTAACTGTGTGACTCTGGGCAAGTCACTTAACCCTGCTTGCCTCAATTTCCTCTTCTGTAAAATGAGCTCAAGAAGGAAATAGCAAACCATTCCAGGATCTTTGCTAAGAGAACCCCAAATGAGATCACAAAGACCGACTGAAATGACTCAACGACAATCACAGTAAAGCAAACCAGACATGAAAGACCAGTCAACACAGAGAGCGTCCAATAATGCATGCAGTATTCCACACCCATTGTCACCCACTTCTCTCTAGGGAGGAGGGAGGTATTTTTCACCCTTATAATCAATCAGGAAAGGCCTTTTAAAGGGAAAAGCCTCTATTTGCTTTCTGTCCTTGAGCCAGGAAGGGCAGCTCAAGATTTCTGTCCTCTAGCCCTAGTACAGAGTAGTTTGTTTTTAACTTTCTCAAGTTGGAGCTTCATGTTGAAGCTTTATAATCATAGACATTCAAAGCAATTCAAACAAAGTGGGTCAAAAAATACGGGAAGCATGGAAATGTGGAGACTGAGGACTTGGATTTCAGTCTGGTTTTTTTGTTTTGTTTTGTTTGGCAAGTGACTTCCCCAGGGTCACACGGCTAGCAAGTGTCAAGTACCCGAGGGCAAATTTGAACTCAGGTCCTCAAGGCTCCATCCACTGCCCAGCTAGCTGCCCTTGGGTTTAAATCTGAACTCTGCTTTTTCCTACCATTGTCACTTCACTCTGTGCCTCAATTTGCATATCTGTAAAATAAAGATTTCTATGGTTCCTTCCAACTTCAAATCTATGACCTCACCTGATTTCCCAGTCAGGGTGAGAGAAGGCCTTCCTCCCTAGTTTTTGCTACCCCCCACAACTGGAGCTTCGTGAGTTTGAATAGCTTCCATTCATTCAACGAGAATCTATTTTATCTCTATATTATATACTGGATATTGTACTAAGCTCAAGGACAAGGGTACTTAGTATTTTTGTATCATGTGGCCCTTTGGTAGTCAGTCTGGTGAAGCCTCTGGACCCCTTCTCAGAATAATATTTTTAATTGCATAATATTAAATATATAGGATGATAAAGGAAACCAATTACATTGATATATAGACAATGATCTTTTCCTATCCTGGTCACAGATGGGTCTGGAGGGTTGAAAGGAGAGAAATGGGACATTTGTCCAGCCTGTTCTCAGTAATTACTGTTCATTGTTTGTAGTAGCTTCCAAGTAGGTAGTTTCCATCCTACATCCTTTCTCCATGTTGTGTCCTTTTCTGCCATTTACTCCATCCGGTAGGATTCTCTCTCCTGGTCACAGAGAGTTCTGGAAGGGTTGAAAGGAGAAAACTGGGGTATTTGTCCAGTCTGTCCTCAGTAATTACTGTTCACTGCTTATAATTCCTTCTGAGCAGCTAGAATTTCTACTGAACATCTTTTTCCATCTATACCCTCTTCTGCAATTTGCACGGTTGGGTGGGATTCTCTCTCGGTCGCAGATAGGTCTAGGAGGGTTGAAAGGAGAGAGGTGGGGCATTTGTCCTGTCTGCCCTCAGTTGACATCTCAGTAATTGCTATTTACTCTTTATTGTTCCTTCTGAGAGTTTCCACTCAACATCCTTGCCCGTTTGTACCCTCTTCTACTATTCACCCCATTGGTTGTGTTTGAGGACTGGGGTGAGTCAGTGCTAGACCTTGGAAGGTATCACACTTTCCTTATTCCTTCTCCAACCCAACAAGCCTTATCGGGGGAAGACATTGGCTTGGAGCCTCCTACGGAGGGCATCCTTTACTTCCTTGTTGCGAAGGCTGTAAATGAAAGGGTTAAGCATGGGGATGATGATAGTGTAGAAGACTGAGACTATCTGGCCATCTGTGCCACTGTCATTTCCATGGGGCTGGACGTATGTGAAGACCACAGTGCCATAGAAAATGGCAATGGCCAGGAAGTGAGAGGCACAGGTAGAGAGGGCCTTTTCCCTTCCAGCTGCTGAGTGCATGCGCCCGATGGCCACCAGGACCAGGCCATAGGAAATGAGAATGACTGTGGCAGGTAGAAGAGTAACCAAGGCAGAGAAAATATAGAGGATGTTGCCTGCTGTGGCAGTGTCAGCACATGCCAGGCGGAGGAGCGGTGGGATGTCACAGAAGTAGTGGGTGACTTCATTGGGTCCACAAAAGGGCAAGACAAAAACATTCCTGGTCTGGATGATGGAATTGGCCCCACCAAACCCATAGGAAGCAGCCACCAGCTGGAGGCAGGTCACCTTGGTCATGACAGAAGCGTAATGGAGGGGTTGGCAGATAGCCATGAAGCGGTCATAGGCCATGGCAGCCAGAAGGAAACTCTCAGTTGTCACATGTATCACAAAGAAGGCCAGCTGGACCACACAACCGGTGAAGGAAATGGATTTGTCAGTGGCTAAAAAGTTGACCAAGAGTTTGGGTGTGGCCACAGAAGAGTAGCAAATGTCAAGGAAAGAGAGGATGCTGAGGAAGAAGTACATGGGACTGTGAAGACGGAGGTCAATGTAGATCAGGGCCATCATGCCCATGTTGCCCATCACTGTCATGGCATAGATCAGCAGGAAGATGAAGAAAAACATCATCTGCAGGTCTGCATACTCTGAGAAGCCCAATAAGATAAATTGAGTTACTGGGGTAAAGTTGCCACTGGCAAGAGCTATCTCTCCAGGAGTCATCTGCAGAATGATAATCAACAGCCAATTAATCAATTAATCATGACAATACAGCTTCTACTGTGCTTAGAGACAATATAGTAGAAAGAGCCCTGGCCTTCAGTCAGGAGAAGTCTGGGTTCAAATCTTGCCTCTGCTACGTGCTAGTCCTGTGATCTTGGGTAAATCCATTAAGTCTCTCCTTCCTTATCTTAAAATGGGAAATTCTGATGCCTGGAGTAACTGTCTCACAGAACTGTTTGGAGAGTAAAATGAGATAATGCACGTCAAGTGATTGACAGACCTTAAAGGTTTCTCTAAATGTCGATGATGAGGATGATGATGATGATGATGGCAGTGTAGTACAGTGAATCAAAAACCAGCCTTGGAGTCAGAATGACCTAGATTTGAGCCCTGCCTCTGATACATAATTGCTGTGTGATGTTGGGCAAATCACTGAACCTTTCAGTGTGTCAGGATTCTCTCTGACTGTAAATAGCAGAGCAGGTGCTGATCTACACAGATAGAAGGAGTTTCCTCAGAAGGAGCTCTGTTCAATAAGGTCTGGAGCCCCTCTACTCAATTATAATTTTTTCTTGTTATTACCACGTAACTCAAGGGAATAGTTAGTAGTGAACATAAAATGGACACATGGCCAGCCTTAGCTTGGGCTCCACACCATGGAGGAGATACTTCCTTCTCTTATCTGAGACCAATGATTATGCAAATGGTGGAGACGAATGATGAGTGAATGTAAAAACTTGTATTAAGCACATATGCCAGGCACTATGATGGGCACTGCAAACATAAATACAAAAATGAGAAGTTGTTGCCTTCAAGTAGTTTACATTTTAATGGAAGAGACAATACATATAAGGGAGTGGTGGATAGGGAATTTTGGTCTGGGAAATCACTAGGATGGTAAGAGGAACCATAGGGCAATTGATTTATACATCCATTTTAGGAACAAAAGTAGTGTCGATTTGATTACTAGAGCAAAAGATGGAAATCAGGGTGGGGACTAAGCTCACAGAGAGCTGGAAAGGATGTGAATCATGGTCTATGCTGGGGCCACATAGATATAGTAGGTTCTGTGAGTTTGTGATCACTCAGCTCATCCCATGGTGACGGTTCCAAAGAAGAGTGGATAATCTCCCTCATGAACTGGGGCCATGGCTTCTGGAGGTCTGGGTTCAGAGAGATAGGGAGAAGTAGGGAGATGAAATTAAACAGATCTCACTGTGCTAAGAATAAGTGTAGGAGCTTGGGCAAGTTACTTCTTCATCTCTCTGGGCCTCAGTTTCCTCATCTATAAAATAGGGGAAGGGTAGGCTAGATGCTCTATAAAATCCTTCTTTATGTATGAGTCGTGAACCGGTGCCTTCCCTAAACACAAGACTAGTATCATAGAGTGTAGAGGAAGGGAAACCAATATGAAGATAGGAAACCCAATATGAAGTTAGGACACCCGAATTCTTGTCCTAGGAGCTACCACACCAGCTAGTGCCTTAGTCAGCTAGTACTGATTAAGCACCTTCCATGTGTCAGGCACTGCCGTAAATCCTGGGGATACAAAAGAAGACAAAAAGCCTAGTTCCTGCTCTCAAGGAGCTCCCAGTCTAATGGGGAAATAACGTACACACAGCTATGTACAAATGAGATGTATACAGATAAATTGGATGTTGGATTTGAACTGAGACTTGTAGGAAGCCAGGGAAATGAGGTGGAGACAAGAAAGGAGAGTATTCACTGACATGGGAGGCAGCAAATGAAAATGCTCAAAACTGAGAAATGGAATGTCTCATTTGAGGAAGATCAAGGAGGCCTGAGTCACTGGATCATAGACTATATGTAGAAGAGCCAGGTGTAAGAAGACTGGAAAGGTAGGAAATGGCCAGCGCAAGAAGGACTATAAAAGCCAAAGAGATGGTTTTGTATTTGATCTTGGAGGTAATAGGGAGCCAGTGGAGTTTATTGGAAAGACATGTGTGTGTGTCGTGGTCAAATGTGTGCTTTATGAAGATGAATTTAACAGCTGAATGGAGGAAGTACTGGATTGGGGAGCAACCTGGCGCCAGGAAGATCCATTAGTGGACTACTGCAATAGTTCAAATGTGAGGTGATGAGGGCCTAAACCAGGGTGGAGGCAGTGCCAGAGTAGAGGAGAGAGTGTGCAAATAGGTGTTTTGAAGGTGGAATCAACAGGAATTGGCAACTGTTTGGTTATGGGGAGATGAGAAACAGTGAGGAATTGAAGATGACATCTAGGTTTCAAATCTGAATTACTGGGAGGATGGTGGTGCCCTTGACAGTGATAGCAAAGTTAGGATGAGGGGAGGGTTTTTGAGGAAAGCTAATGAGTTTAGTTTTGGGTGAATACAAAGAGCCAGCATGAAGTTGCACTAGATAATTTGTAAAGTTCCTTCCCACTATATGCTCCCCTTAATCTATAAAAATGCAAATTTCTTGTTCTCCCTTTCCCACACATATATTGAGGATAAGCCTGAAAGTCCCTCACACTAGTTAACAGGAAGAAATGGATATGATTACAGAAATACACACTAAGATCAGATCCACAAAAGGACTAGTGATTTTGATTCAGGGGATTTGGGGTTCATGGACCACCTTCCGGAAGGGTAATTCTGGCTTGTGATATGACCAGGAACATGGAATAGCATCAGGGTACTAAAGTCTCCCACTGAAGAAACCATGGACGTAGCCCTAACTTTGTAGGCTCTGCCCATGGAGCAGAAGTTCATCTACCATAATGAAAAAAGCTTTAAGTATGGACTGGTCTTAGGTTTGTTGTCTGAGAACCAACTTTGCTTTGTTAGAGAGCCTAATAACCAGGTTGCTTGTGCAATAGGGAATATATCCCTTACAGTGCCTCTTGAAGACCCTTTCCCAAGTTTTAGAATATAATGGTTATGATGTATGTCACAGAAGAAGCAAGCGCTTCAGTGAAATCAAGGTCTTGGAATGCACAGGTAGAAGTGTGATTTGAACCCAGGTTCTTTGGCTCTTACACACAGAAAAGTTTTCTCTGTGACCTTGACAGTTCTATAAATCCATCAGAAACTACCCTAACTATCAAGGGCTGAGAGGTGCCCTGGCAGTGATGATTAGAAAGGAGAATTTGATAGGGTGACAGGTTTGGAAGACTGGTTTCATCATCTGGAAGACCTTGTCCCAATTGTCCCCCAAACCCACTGTACTCAGTCTGGCTGCTTACATTGGTCCCATTGCTTGGTATGTCCTGATATGTTCCCTCTCTCCTCCATTTACCCCAAAGCTTCACTTCCTCCAGACCCAGTTCCAGATTTGCCTCATTTAGGAAGCCTTCTTTGGCCATACCAATCTACCATACCAATCTACCTTGACCTCTGTCTCCACTCTGAGCTGCTACAGGGTTCTACCCTTCATTTGGCAATTCCTGGTTTATGGACTCTCTTGATCGCCTGTACTCTTTGTAGTTCTCAACTTCGAATTCCTCATTCCCGAGTGAAGACCTCTCCCAATTCAAATTCTCTATTCCTGTTCCAGGGTTGATGAGGAGTACTGGAGTAAAACACGAAATCAAGTTGGTTTCATTCCCCACACATCCATGGTGCATGATCTCAGTTTGACTCTCAGTACAGCTCAACAGTCTTGCTGCTCTGTCTTTATTGATTCCTTATCTCATCCCCATGGTAACTTGCAAGCTCTTTGTTCTCTCCTCAGCCAACTATACACTCTCTCCCCTCCTTATTTGCCTGCACATATAGCAGATGTCCTGGCCTCCTAATTCATCAAGATGCTTGAGGCCATCTGAAGGAAAGCTCAGCCTTCTGTCATTGACATGGAATCTATGCCTTTATCTAAGATATTGATGAAAATATTAAACCCCATGGGGCTCATCGCTGATCTTTGTGGGCACTCCTCGCCCCAGACCTCCTTACAAGGTGACATCTACTCATTAATGACAACTACTCTCTGAGTCTGGTCATTCAAACAGCTCAAATTTCACCTAACTGTGCTATTGTCTAGCCCGTGGCTCCGCATCTCTTCTATAAGAATAGCATGATAGCCATTGTCAAATGCTTTGCTAAAATCTGATAAACTATCTGAAGCATTTGCCTGATTGACCAGTCTAGTGACCCTGACAAAAAGAAATAAGGTTAGGCTGGTATGATCTGTTTCCAGATCTATCTTAGCTTCAGCCTCTTTTTTGTCTCGCTTTCTGGCTCCAGTCTTGCATCTCCAGCAGTTTGCTGGATGTTTTCATCAGGATCTCTCCTCACCCCTTCCCTCAGGATCGAACTTCACCATCTTTAGCAGATTATCTGACATCCTATCAAGTAGAGATTCTAAATAAAATTAGTAAATAAAAAGGTATTTATGAAGCTCATACTATGTGCTAAACCCTGGGGATACAAATCCAAAAGGAAAGACACCCTCTATCCTCAAAGAGGATATTTTAACAATTGGAGACAACACATATCTCCTAAGGCAGTCAATTTCATTTTGAGGCTGCAATTAATATTGCGAAGTTTTTTTTTTCCGTACACTGAGTCATAATCTGTCCTTTGCCACTTGCATTCCCTGTTTCCGTTGCCATATCTGTTCTTTGGGGTCAAACAGAAGTCTAAGCCCTCTTAGAGGCAATAGCCCTTCAGATACTTGAAGATACTTAGCTAACAACTTCAATTTCTCATTTATTTGATTAGTATTTGATTGTAGTGTTTAATTTGGAGGCAGCTAGATGGAGCAGTAGTTAGAGTGCTAGGCCTGGAGTAAGGAAGACCTGAGTTTAAATGCAACCTCAGGCAGTTATTACTTGTGTGACCCTGGGCAAGTCACCTGATCTTGTTTGTCTCAGTTTCTTCATCTGTAAAATTAAGTGGAGAAGGAAATGGCAAACTACTCCAGTATCTCCACAAAAGGGGTCACAAAGAGTTGGAAACAACTAAATAATGTAATTGTTTGTTGACTGAGTTCACCATGATTTCATATTCTTGTTAGCTATGCCTCTGAAAGACAATCTG